CTAGCCAACCAGGACCTGCCGCGTGGCAAGACCACGTCGACCCGGGAACGGGCCACGTGGGCGATCCGTGTGCGCGCGATCGGACGGTCCAGATGCGTTCCCGCGCGCACGGACGGCCCAGATCAAGCGTGCGCACGGACGGCCCAGATGCAAGCGCACGGACGGCCCAGATGCACGCGCACGGACGGCCCAGATTTAATCAAGTACGGACGGCCCAAATTTAATCAAAATAGACGGCTGTGATCAAAAGACAAAATGGTATAAATAAAACCCCCACACCTTACCACAAAAACCCTAGCCACCTGCCCTTGCCGGAGAAGACGAACCAGACGTCGGAGGAGCCGGTCGCCGCCACCTGCCTCCGCACCGGGGAGTTTTCTGACCGCCGATCGAGGTAAATTGCATACCCCTGGCTCGTTTTTCAATGCTGAGTTCCCATGTGGCCAAATCGGAGCCAAAATCCCGGCCAAAAGGCCGAAAAATATGGCCGAAACCCAGCGGCGCCGCTGCGCCCCTCCTCGATTTTTGCCTCCAATGATGCCCTTCCCGGCCTCCGTTTGATACAATTTTTATATCACCGTGATCACCATTCTTTTCTCTACAGGTTGATCAGAGCCAAATCACCAAAACACGAACTTCGCCGGAGAGCTGCCGCACCTGAAGCACCGCCGCCGGTAAGCTTCGATTTTTCGTAATTTTTTGGCCCCCCGAGGGCCCTAGGGTTGTTTTATCTCAGGGACCGATGCAAGTGTGGACGAATTCGGCCAGAAACGGCTGAAAACGGCCAACCCGAGGTGAATCGCCATCGCCGGAGCACGGCGGAGCCGCCGTGCCGGAATTGCGATATTGGCCGAAAGGGGCCCTGGGTCTAATTTGGGATTTTTGGGACACGTGCAGGTACCAGTAGTGCGTTTCAGTTCCCTGAAAAAAATTCAGGGAAAATTAGGGACAGCCTATAAGCGCACTTTAGAGCCGTATTCGGACCCCGAAACAAGTAAGGATTCCTCACTCTATTTCCTATTACGGTATTAAAGTGCAATAAATGATAAAATGGTATTTCATGAATCAATAGTTGTGTGAAATTGTTTGAGGTTGCTAATGGAGCCCGAGTCTGGTATATTTGTCGGTCAGTTGTTGTTTGTTCTATTTTACAGTTTTAAATGCAGTATGATGTCTGATGTTTTTATTTCATAGTTTCGTGTGCATGTATTACTGTTTCATTGATTATAGACTGAATGACTGAGAACCCGATGTTGTGTGTTGTCTTGTTGGCGTGAACTACCGGTTTGCATGTTTGTGTGTGATTTAATGATGCTGACTGAGGAAAAATGTGGATGAAAGGTTATGTAAATTGA